AAGTCTACAAATTCCCCTGTTTTGGAGGCAATGATTTCTAATTCTTAGCTCCTCCTTTGGTCCACAGTATGCTCATCTGGAAGACATTTAGACATTTCTGAGGAGATTTCAAACTAAGGCAAACTCTGGTCCACTGTCTACCTCTCATAAAAGGTCAAATACATGGCCAACTGAGGCATAACATATCTGAACCATATGGAAGAAATAATTGACTAAATGGGATCACTTAAAAATAGATGCATTTCTTAAAAAGACATGTATTTTCTCAGCAGGCCCAATAAAGCTTAGAGCATTTTAAAAGCCAGAGAAAAATATTAGAATGTTTAAGTGAAATGAAACATTGTTTCTGATATTCTATAAGGTTCTGCTAAATTTATTTGCTGTAATTTGACTTTAAATGATCATTGTGTTAAGTGCAATTGGATTAATGAAACTAAATTTTAAGATCTGAATATTTCTGAATGAATATCTAAGATAAAAATAACATTAAACTGTGTAGCTTTTTCTTTTTAAAGGTTTTTTTTTTTTATCCAAATGCTGGGGTACAGGCCAGAGGCGTGGGAGGGTGAGAGGCTTCACCAGCGACAGAGTGGGGAGCAGAACAGGCAGACAGACCAAAAGCACTGCTGAGGGGAGCAGCGGGCACAACAGGAGCAGTCTGTCGCACCATGTGGGAATCTCCCTGGCCAGCTGGGAATCGCACCCGCACTGCAGAGGCTGTGGACAGCTTCACAGCGCTGTGCTCAACCTGCTGCGCCACCAGGGAGGCGCCTAAACTGTCTAGCTTTTAATTAGTAATCATTTTAGTGGAAGAATTTCTCCCATCTTGGTTGACAAGATACCAATGATTTCAGTGACTCCATTCATTTAAACCTCTTACTAAATAAACTTTATTACCTTAACATTTATGGGGATTCTTTTGGCCAAAATAATTGGCTTATTATCCTGCCTGGGTAATAGTATCTCAAGCTTTTCTAATAAATGAATATTGTCTTGGAAAAGGAGGCTAATTATGTTACAGTGTCATTTATGGCATTGCTCAAAACAATTAACACTGCTCACATATTTTTCATTTTTCCAACTTACGGCATCCTATGTTTTTTGAGAATTGTTTGGAACTTTTCTGAGTTTTGCATTAGAATGCATACAGTTGAATATAGAGTTCAATATCTCCTATAATGAATTATAGAGGCCACAGAGAATGTTGTTCTTTATCTGCCTACCTACAGAAATAATCATTTTGAAAATGTATTTTTCATATGTGAAACTCCCCATATTTCAATCCAAATCTTTAAAAAGTTGAGGAGAAGCTCTGGACCACAGTGTCCTGCTTCTGACATTCTGTATTATGTAAAGAGAAACAAGGGCATGCTAATGATAAATTTAATCTTTGCAGTCAAGATGAATGTATCACACATTCGTTGTCTACACCTCTGGTCTTAATTAGGCATCTGAAAGCCCCATGCTGTAGGCCAAATAGGGTCAGAAAGAACATAAATGGCTTACCTCAAACCAACTTCACAATTAGAAAATAACTTAAAACATATGCTTTATGAGTGCTCTAGATTTACTATCATCTTTTAAAGGAAAGATAACCTGTGGTACCAGGGTTATTAATTTTCTTTCAGCAACAGATCAGAATCAAATTTCACGTGAATTAAAGGAAGGAGGAAGTCAATTGTAGTTTCACTAAATGGAAACTACAAAACTTCGTTGCTCTTAATCATGGTGGATTTCTTTGAAACCTTAGACCTGTTAAATATTAAATAGCTCTGCGTTAACACATCTTTAGAGATTATGCTAAACTGTTTTAGACTGAAATTTTAAAGAGCAGGGACCTTGGACATCTTGGTATATAAAAATTAGCCCAGGTAATTAGCGTAGGATTTGACACAAGATGTTTCTTCAGTGACTTAATGCATATTAAATGAGTACCTTAAGATAACTTCAAAAGTCTGTAATTTAGTAACAGTACTAGTTTATTACTCAAAGCATTTAATTCACACTGTGAAAAGGCGTTGTCTGAGTTCCTTTTGTCTTTGTCAGACAAAAATCAAAATGTTTTTTTGAAGAACATATGAAATTACTCCTGAGGACAACAATTTTTTTTTTCCCCCCTGGGAAGGCTCCAGAGATGGGACTGAGTGTTTTTTTGGTAATTAATTTATATCATTGTTCATTTTTGTACAATGCTTGATTTATCCCCTCAGATGTAATCCCCATAAAATTCCCACCACTACATTGCCCATGACAGTCACCATAGTCTCTTGTGTTCTTTCCTCTTCTGTTTCAACTCCTTCCCTCCCTGTCCTTCTGCTATATGTCTTGGATTTATAGTTTGCCTGCTAGTTTCGTCTTTTTTTTTTTTTCTGACCCCTTGTTCGGTTTCCCTACATTCCCCTTGTAAGTGAAACCATATGTTATTTTCTTTTTTCTTTTGACTTATTTCACTAGCATAATCCCTTCCAGCACCATCCATGTTGCTACAAATGGCATAAGTTTACCTTTTTTGATTGCTGAATAGTATTCCATTGTGTATATATACCACATCTTCTTGATCCAGTCATCTTATTTTCGGCATTTAAGTTGTTACCATATCTTACTATTGTAAATAGTGCTGCAATAAATATAGGAATGCAGGTTTCTTTCTTTTTTTTTTTTTAAGATTTATTTATTTATTTATACAAGAACCGGGGAATAGGCCAGATGCGCGGGTGAGAGGATTCACCAGCGACAGAGCGGGGAACAAAACAGGCAGACGAAATACACTGCTGAGGAGAGCAGTGGGCGCGACAGGAGAGGTCTGCCGCGCCATGTGGGACTCTTGCCAGCTGGCCAGGATTGAACTGGAATCGAACCAATGCTGCAGAGGCTGCAGACAGCTTCACAGCACTGCACTAAACTGCCTGCGCCACCAGAGGAGGCCCGCAGGTTTCATTTTGAATTAATGTTTTTGTACCCTTTGTGTAGATTCCTAGGAGTGGAATTAATGGGTCATATTGTGGCTCCATTTTCAGTAATTTTAGGGTTCTCCACACAGCTTTCCATAGTGGTTGGACGAGTTTGCATTCCATCAGCAGCCTAAGAGGGTTCCTTTTTCTCTACATTTCACCAGCATTTGTTGTTGCCAATTTTTTCCCTCTCACAGGTGTGACGTGTTATCTCATTATGGTTTTGATTTGGATTTCCCTGATTGTAACTGATATTAAGCATTTTTCCATATATCTGCTGGTCATTTGTATTTCCTCTTTGGAGAAGTGTCTTTTTAGCTCTTCTCCCGTTTTCTGACTGGATTATTTGCTTTGTTTTTATGAGTTGTGTGAGCTCTTTGTAGATCTTTGAAATTAGTCACTTATCAGTTGTATGGAATGCAAATAATTTCTCCGAATCAGTAGAGTCTCTTTGTTTTAGTTCTTGTCTCTTGTTATACAGAAGCTTTTTGGTTTGATGTAGTTCCAGCTGTTTTATATTTTCCCTCATTTTCTTTGCCTCTGGAGGTGTATGTTATAGAGTGTTTTGCCTATGTTTTCTTTTATATATTTCATGGTTTCAGTTCTTAACATTCAAGCCTTTTATCCATTTTGAGTTGGTTTTTGTGTTTGATGTAGTAGTCCAGTTTACCCAGCACCGTTTATTGAACAATGTCCTAGTTCCAGTGCATATTCTTTGCCCCTTTGTCATAGATTAGTTGTCCATATATGTGGCTGGTTTTTTTTTTTTTAAGGTTTTATTTATTTTTGTGTAGAAGAACTACTGTGCAGACCAGAGATGTGGGATAGTGGTGAGCAGAACAAGTGATCTACTGAAATACACTGCTGAGAGGAGCAGGAGGCGAGTCAGGAGAGGTCTGCTGCACTATGTGGGTTAGCTCCTTGGCTAGAGATCGGACACTATGTGGTGGGCTATTGCAGTAGTAGCGCTGAGACTTAACTCCTAGGTCACTAGGGAGGCCCTATTTCTGGGTTTTCAGTTCGATTCCATTGGTCTGTTTTTGTTCCAGTATATACTATTTTAATTATTATTTTCTCACACAAGAGAATGGATCAAGCCAAATTGGCTATATAGATCCACCAGTTTTCTGTATCACTCTCTATCCTACACTTACCACATCCTTTCTGTTCACTTGCAACATGGTATGAAATACAAGTAAACAGTTATTCCAAACTAATGATAGAAGAAAAGTTAAAAGGAGGAAAAATATAATCAAATGATTCTATCAGCTACTTTAATGATCAGGATGTCCCTCATTTGGCACTAATAAATGCTTAAATTTAAAATCGTAAGAGATGCTCTGATGGTTTATGTGTAACTCAATTGGGCTAAGGGCTACAGGTACTTGGTCAAACATTATTTCTACGTTGCATATATGAGAATGTTTCTGCAAGAGAGATGCATCTAGGTTAGCAGACTGAGTGAAGAAAACAGCCCTTACCAAAGTGGGTGTGCAACATCTAATCCCTTGTTTCCCCACCCCTATTAGGACAAAAAGTAGAGGAAGGTCAAATTTGCTTACTCTTCTGGAGATGGGATGTCTGTCTTGCGCCCTGACACCAGAGCTCCTGGTTCTCTGACCTTCAGATTCTGAGACTCATGCCACTGACCTCCTAGGTCTCAGGTCTTGTGACCTTGGACTGGGAGTTACACCATAGACTCATGGTTCTCAGGCCTTTGACTTGGACTCCATCAGCTTTCCTGGTGCAAATGGTAGACAATGGGACTTATTAGCCTCCCTAGTAGGTATGCCATTTCCTATTCACACATATATATTCTATTGATTCTGCTGTTCTGAAGAAGCCTGATTAATGGAGGCACTGAAAAATTACATAAGCTGTAGGGTCTATTTGTCTTTTTAATTTATTAAAAACGTGTTTTCATAGAGTGCAAAGGAAGTAATTAACATGATATAGGTCATGAGGTAGCAAATAATCCTTAACTCCATTGGGTCTAAGCCCTGACCTTACAGTTATGAATTCCAAATTTGCGTTTGAATGCATGACAGAAAGAATAAGAATGAAATAGGCAAAAGTGTAGACCAGTTTAACTTTTATTAATAAAAAACTAAACTCAGGAAATTGCTTTGTTCCTGCATCTTATTTGGCCATATGATGGAGAAGTAAAAATTTCTTCTCTTCATGAGGGCTTAGGTAAGAACTGGCAATATACCAGTTCTAACAAAAATAGCATATTAGAATATCTAATATTAAGTATGGAATTAAATTGAAGAAATTAGATGTTGGAGATCACAGGGGCTTCCTTTAATAGTCTTCACTGTAGTTTTATTTGCAGTCATAAATATTTCATCAAGATCAATCCAATTACACACCCCAAGGAAAAAACTGATGAAAATCAAGGATAATTTTCACAGCTTCATTGTAAAGTTCAAGATCTGAAAGAAACATTTTAGCAAACATTTAATCTTCAGTGGTAAACTGTTAACATCAATGATCATAAAAAGATTTCTACTTATATTTCTTCTCTCTCTTCTTTAGAGATCGACATATTTTTACAACCCAGCTGAAACTGAGATATATTCTCATATTTACTTAACTTTGGCTCCAAAATAAAGATGTGGGTACAGAAGGTGATCCATTTTGATGTAGCTCTTGCCTGGTTGTGTTTTAAGTGTTACACATTATTTGATTCCTTCAATGAATACAGTAAAACAAAACAAAAACCCAAACATTTTGTTTGCCCTACTTTAAAAATGTCTTTAAATAAGAATCAATCTATGGTTACTGAATTTTGTACATAAGCAAGCACTATTTAGAAGCAGGCTAACATGTCTCCCAATTTTGGGGGAATCAGAAAATTCTATAGAAATTGGAAATGTGGTAGGACTGAGACCATAAGACCAACATACACATACCAAGAATCAAATTCTTTTTCTCTCCTAATTTACACAAAACCACCAAATGCTGGATTGTTTTACTTACCAAAAGGATGGCTATCTTCTTTAAACTGGATATAGGAGGCACACATAATGGTTGCTTTGGCCGTTACTTTTCCAACTACTTCCACAATTCCAGAGATTTCTCCATCAAGCTAACACAAAGAACATGGTATTTTCATATTTAACTTGGAAAATTGTTAAACAGTCTTTCAGTGGGTGTAACAAAGTAAATAAAAAAAATTACCTATGTAAAACCAGAAATTATTGTTAGAAAATATTTAAGTACTTCCTGTCAGCAAATCCTAAGTCCCATAATCTTTTGCAATAGTTTTGGGTCCAAAGATGTTTAAATTGAAGACAAAAATCACTTAAAAATAGAGAATGCCCAACATTTCTACAAGGAATAATTTGTTTAAAAGGACTCACTGAAAAGGAACCATCTATTATCAACATTTTATGAAGTGTGGTCTGTATACATTAACCAAATAGCATATGGATTTGTCTTCACAAATGACCAAGAAAGTATTTTTTAGGTACAATAACAATAAAACCTAGAAATGGATGACAACTAAATAAATATTATATATATATATATATATATATATGCAAAAATAGTCAGAATTTTAAAAATGTAATATGCTTGAGGAAGGGAAGAGTGATTTATTCAGAAAAGCTTTTCTTATATACTTCTCTGGTTTTTCATAAGGAGTGTGAATTGTCTTAGAGGATTTAAAGGAATATTAAAAACTCATGGAGTCCAAAGAATCACTGGTTAGAAACATAAAGGGAATTACAAAAAAAAAGAGGAGGACAAAATTTAATTTCTGAGTTACGAAAGTTTTATAAGCTGGTCCTTTATACATCTAAGAATTAGAGACATTAGCAACAAACCAAACCAGGATGAAGAATTAACTATAATAAAGACCAAATTAGTATTTATACATACCGGTTCCATCAACTCAATGGTTGCATTTTTTCCTTCTCCATCTGAAAGAATAAACATTTTTCCACTGGGATGAATCTAAAAAAGAAAACATGATTTAAAAAAACCACATAAAAAAATCTTTGAAAATTTCATTGAAACAGAAATATTAAAAATTTCTCAAAAGTGAGCTTGACCCAAACTTAGTCAATAGACACAAAGCAACTGTTTTCTGAATAGTTCTTTTAGTTCTAATTACAATCTGTGTTCTCAGATCTGCCCAGTTAAATTTGAACTTTGATACAACTATGTCCTGTATTTAGTTGCTAAATCAGGCAAAACTATGCAAGAATAAATTAAAGGGGGAGGGTCTACGTTAGGCAAAAGTGAGATCTACTGGCACCCATGATTTAGATAGTACTGAAGGTATATTTTAAGGCTTAGGAATAATGAAGTAAAGAGAACTGGTTGTGAAGATTTGGGTTCTACTCCTGTAAAACAAATGCCAAGGGTGCGGGCAGATTTGCCACTTGCTTGACCTCGAGCATTTTAGTTAAATTATCCACAACACCTAGTTTTCCTACATGTGAAACCTGAGTAACACCTATTTTATGAAGAAATTGTATGGCTGAATGAGCTATTAAGTAAGCCATTATATGTTAATTTTGTTTCCCACAGTTTGCTCAATTCAGAATCCAACACTCCGGATTTGTGTCTCACTAGCAGGACGAGGGAACTAAATTCTCACTCTGGGGTAAGGCAACAAACTGCTATAGGATCGGGAAGGGGTAACCAAGGGAATGTTTTATGGAAAAGCGACCTCAAGGGGAAAACGAGGTTTGAGAAGAGAAAACGGTAAGAGAGAAGGAAACCAGGTACTAGTTGTCAAGTCTGGCTATATAAAAAGTCATAAGGTAAACGTGGCCGTCCTGAAAACACAAACAACGCGGGGAGGAAAGCGCTGGAATTAAGAACGGAGCCTATTTGAAAACATCTCCAATCCGCTCCAGGGGCCTCAAAATGCGCTGCACTGGCTGAAAAAGTACGCAAAAAAAAAAAAAAATCATCAAGTAAAAATCTCCCGCAAAGTAAAGCAGTCGATTGCATAACCCTGCTCCGAAGCTTTCTTGCCGCCTCAGGGTGCCGCACCCCGAGGCGGCCGCCCGGGCAGTCACAGGGTCCCTCCCGCCCGCCACGGACCCAGGAGTCTGAGCCGCAAGCGCGCACCTGCTCCAGCTTCCCTACGAAGCAGACCGGCTTGTCGATGAACCGAGCTAGCATGCTGGCGTTGATGCGCGGCCTGGGCAACTCCATGACGTCCATCATGACAGCCGCGGGAGACAAGCGGCCAGCGGAAAACAAACGACTGACCCTTCGCTCCCCGCGGGCAGCTTTGCGGCAGATTTCCGTCGCACCAATCAGCAATGGCTACTACTTGAGCTCGACCAATCAAACGCGAGGGAACATCGATCAATCTCGCGCCAACCCGGAAGGGGTTGGAGAAGCGTGTGACGCATCCGGAAGTGGGGTCGGCTGCTTAGAGACGTTCGGCGTCTCGGAAGTTGCCCCGTCGACAGTGAAATGGACATTGGAGGCGGGACCTGGGTGGGGCGGGGCCTGAGGCTCCCACGGGTGTTTGCGGGCCTCGGTGCAGCTACTTAACCCCGGAAGCTAGGGTTCGGGCTCCGGCGCGGGTGCGGCGGGGGACTGCGGCGCGAGCCTCAGGTACCTCTTCTCGCGGGAGGCGCCGCAGCCTTACTGTTTCCCCTTCTCCCCTCCTAACGGTTGCAGCAGGGAGAGGCGAGAGTTAATGCCTCCAGCGCGGCGGCTTTCTCCGCGCTGCGTATTGGTTGTTGGCGAGACCCCACTCCTCTTCCCGGTTCTGCGGTGCCAGGCGCGGGATTCTTACTGAATGATATTTAGAGATAGATTTATTTTATTATTGTTAACATTATTTTTTGGACAGCCTCCCTCCTGGAAATGGGAAATTGGGTTGCCAGTGATCTCCATCGCCTTTGTCAGGCTCTGACTGCTCCGAAGCAGAGCGTCGCTGACTTACAGCTTAAGCCTAGTCTCTTTCCAGCCTTCACTTTCCCCACCTGTGCGTGGGGGGCGTCCAGCTGATCACCTTGATGACCTTTTCTAGACCTGACCAGCTGGCCATACTGAAGAGGGGCAGGTTTTCTCGCCTCTTAGGTGCTGGCAGCGAATTTAAACATTAGGGGGTAGGGAGGATCACTGGGCTAGGAGGAGATGAATTTAATTAGTTATCAGGTTCTGAGCAAGTGAGCTTCTCCGGGAGACATAATTAACCCTTCCGCAAAGTAAGGGGAGTGAGACACTGATTGTTTTGCAAGATCCCAGCTGTCTATCATTTGACCAGATGATTGACTTTTTTTTGAAACTCCCTTACCAGTCTTTCCTCCATTGCTCTCAATACCCCAAAACGCTACAGGAGAGATTTGGAAGTGGGAGGTAACTGGTTTCAAGGTTTTGGGGGGGTATGTCTCGAATCTCTCATTGGCGTCTGTGGCTGTTGATTGGTGGAGGGGTGCTTTATTGTCTGGGCGGGATTGGTGCCTGCCTTGCTAGGAATATTCCAGAATTACTACTCGTGAAAATAGCTGCAAATGATAGTACGGAAATATGGGTAGGACGGGGAACTTATTATGATATTATCTTATGGAAGCTGAGTCAGAATTTGCCTAAAGCCACAGAGTTGTCATTTCAAAATCAGATACCTAGCTGGGTCTCAACCTGTTATCTCAGTTGCCTTAAGCAAAGAAAATCCTTTTATGAGACTTCACTTGATTTAGGATGAAATGTGATGCGCCATAATGAATGATAGCCTTCCTAAGTGTTTAATTAGTATTTAATGTATTTGTTTTTAATCACTTAAAACAAATTTGAGAAATTCCTTAATAGATGCAGGATATGTCAGTTGGCTTATAAAAAAAAGTGGTTGTATTGGTGCAAGCCTATAAAGTCTTACAGCTTTTGTATAAAGCGTTAACGTTTTATGAACTATATTGATACTTTGTAAAGCAAGTTAGTGTACACTATATAGGGTATGGTATATGTGACTATAATAGCAAACTTTTAAAGAGAAAACCTTTAAAAACCTTTAAAAACCTATCAGCATCATTGTCTTGCTACAATTAAATGAGCGCTGTACACAGCATTTTTTTTTAAACAAGGAGATGAGCAAGATGATAATTTAAAAATAGCTTTTTAATTTTTTTGTCATTTAAATTTTATTGTATAATGTATAATACACACAGAAAACCCTAATTGATGTGTAGTTTCCAGAGAACTTAAGTGAGCCCACATGGACCTCTCTTTCAGTTTAAGTAATGGAACTTTACCAGTTCATAGTTTGCACTTTTTCAGTTGTCTTCTTCTATATGAGTCAGAAATAAACACTATTTTGAAATTTGTGTTAACTCCCTAAGTTTATCTTTTCTTCTTTTTCTTCTTAATTTTTTAAAAGATTTTATTTATACAAGCACTGGGGTACCAGCCACAGACGTGGGAGGGTGAGACAATCCACCAGAGATATAGCAGGGAGCAGAACAGGCAGAAGGACCGAAATACACTGCTGAGGGGAGCAGCAGGTGAGACGGGAGAGGTCTACTGCACCATGTGGGTAGCTCCCTGGCCAGCCGGGGATTGAACTGGCACTGCAGAAGCTGTGGACAGCTTCACAGCGCTGTGCTCAACCCACTGCGCCACTGGGGAGGCCCCTCCCTAAGTTTTTCCATATAGTTTTTCACACAAATAGGCACCCCTAAATGGAATGTTGTTTAATTTTGCCTGTTTGACCCTTATATAAATGCAGTCAGTGTGTGTGTGTGAGTGTGAGAGAGAGAGAGAGAGAATGAGAACTGGTTTATTTGGCTTAGTTTTGAGAGTGATTCACTAGGTTGACATGGTATTAATTTTTTTTTAATCTGCTATTTTGCTCTAGTGTTGAACCGACATTTTGATTATTTGCAGTTGTTTTCTGATGCATCTAGTGCTGCTGTGGGTATCCTTGTGCCTGTTTCTTGGTGCACTTGTGCTGAAACTTAGATTGTGCCTCTTCACTTTACTAGTAAAATCAGTTATTTTCCCTAAGTGGTGTTACCATTTTATCCTCTCATCAAGAGTGTAGAAGAGTTCCATTTGATCTGTATTTCTGGCAACTCTTGAGATTTTTTTCCCCCCTAATCTGATTGATAGGAAATGGTTTCTTTTTGTGGTTTAATTGGTTTCTCTGTGTGGAATAAGGCAGAACAACTTTTCACATTTTTAACTGGCCTAAAGTGTTTACCATTTTTTGTTTTTTGCTGATTTTTTGAAAACTTTATGTTAGTGTTGATAGTCATGCTACATTTCTCAGTTTTGGGCTCATATTTCTGTCTTTTTTTTAATAAGAAAGAGCTCCTGCTTTTAATATAGTTAAAATTTTTTCTTAAGTTTAATATAGTTGAAAAAGTCAATTTAAAACGTAAGAATCCTTTCTCAAATAAACTTTAATTTTTTAAAAAGTTTAATCTTTAATATTCTATCATTTAGAACTGAGTTTTTAATGCAGTCAGAAAAGTATCCAATTTACTTATTTTACTTTCATTTCAATTTCTCAGCATCTTTTATTTACAGTAGCATCTGTTTTGCCACTGACCTTCATTGTCACCTTAAGTTTACTTACATATGTGGTTCTGTTCCCGGGCTCTCAATTCTGTTGTATTGGTCCATTTTTCTGCCCTTGAACCAGTACTAACTCTCTTTTATGTTGTGATCTTATATAACTTACGTTGTCTGAGAGCAAGTCCTATTACCTTGCTGTGTTCTTCACTAATATCTTAGTTATTCTTGGTTTTTGCTTCTCCACATAAAATTTAGCTTGTCAAATTCCATGAACACCTGTGTTAGGATTTAGTCACAGTTGTAGTGAATCATTGTATTGATTTCAGGAGAAATAACGATGATGACTCTCACCATCCTTGAACTATTTTGGCCACTAAACATCTTTACCAAAAGTTTCACAATTTTCTACATAAAATTTTGACTTAGGTTAGCTTTAGTCCTGCATACCTTGTTTTTTATCATAATTAAACGTTTTAATTGATTGTTGTTATATAGAAACACGTGACTTTTTTCTGATCATCTGCTATACTTGTTATTTCTAATAATTTTCTTTGAATTTCTTTTGGATTTTTTTATTCATATGTGGATGAATAATTACAATATTGTTTCTTAATAATGCTTACATATTTTTTTCTTGCCTTTTTCCCAAGTTAAAGCTTCTAGTACTATTTAGAATAGAAATGTTGTTTCAGTTAGGATGGGATTTGTCTGCATATATAAAAGCATGTTAAATACAGAAAGGCTTAGTTTCACATGTCAGAGAAATCAGAGATGTGCACCTCAGCATGTGGTAGTTCGAGGAAGACATCAAGGACCCATATTGATTCTTTCCCCTCTCCTGTGCTGAGTATTTAGTTCCATGCTTCAGGTTACCTCAGAGGTCAGGATGGTGCTAGAATGTCAGTCAATCCCCCTTCTAGGAAGCAGAGAATAGGCAGGCAAAAGGGTGTGTGTACTTGGGGTTCCATTCCCTTTTAAGAGCCTCCCTGAAATTCCTTCATAAGTTCAAGTTCTACTTATTTGGTTAAGGAATTTCCTTTCTATTCCTACTTTGATAAAAGTTTTAGTTGAATGGTTATGGAATTTGATCAGATGCATTTCTTTTTGCATTAGTTGAGATGATTGAAATAAAAATATTTTCCAATTTTGAACCATGCTTGCCACCCTGGAAGAAATTCAACTTGGTTATGATATATTATCTTTTATTATATATTCCTGAATTTGATTTGCTATTGTTGTGTTTAGGATTTTTGCATCCATGTACATGGGTAAGATTGGACTATATTTTTCTTGTATAGGCCTTGGCAGGTTCTAGTATTATGGTTACACTAGACACATGAAATTTGTTGTGGCGTGTTGTCTCTATTTTCTGGAATTCTCTTTAAAATTGGAATTATCTATTCATTGACGATCTGGTAGAACTCTCCTATAAAAGAGTCTGCGTTTGGGATAGTTACCTATATTTAATCCTTTGGGCATTTTTTTATACTTTTCCTAAGTAGATGCTCATTATCAAGTTCTGTATATTTTCTAGTTTCCAATGTCTTTCTTATTTGATTCGTGTTGGTTTTGTTTTCAGACGTATAGGTTTTTATTTGCTAAAATTGTTTTGTTAATTTTTTAAAGTAATCGCATATGGTCAGACAGTATGGGTTATCTGATACTAATTCTTTGAGAGTTTTGAGACCTGCTTTAGGACTTATCAAGTACATGGACAATTTTTTGTTAATGTTTCATGTGTGCTTGGGATCAGGCTTGTTAATTGCAGTGTTTTGCTTTCTCATTTTTGTTTGATTCATATCTCAGTTAATAAGTGTTAAATATCCTAAACAGGGTAGCCTTGGCGTTTGTCTTTGAACTTTTGATGACTTATACTATGTGTATACATATATAATATATACACATATCTGAATATATTATAGTATATATTTTTAATTGAAGTATTAGAGCATTGTGTAAGTTTTAGGTGTTCTTGTTGAAAATCAAGAGGTGTATTTAATCACTAAAAGTCCAATTCTGGGCCTCTCTGGTGGCGCAAGGGATTGTCTCAGCACTGTGAAGCTGTCGGTAGTCACTGCAGCACGAGTTTGATCCCGGGCCAGGGAGCTACCCACATGACGCAGCAGACCTCTCCTGTCTCTCCTGCTGCTCCTTTCAGCAGTGTATTTCAGACAGTCTGCCTGTTCTGTTCCTCACTCTGTCTCTGGTGAATCCTCTCACCCCTCCCCACCTCTGGCCTGCACCCTCGCTCTTGTATGCATAAAT